TTGGTCTGACATGATCTCCCCCTAATAAATCCATGCTGATTGCCCCTGAGCATCATTTCTGATGCCGGCCCATCACAAATGTGCTCCTTGATGATCTTCTCAAAGAGTTTCCCCAGGATTGAGGTAAGACTGACGGGCCTATAGTTGCCCGGGTCCTCCTCCTTCCCCTTCTTGAAGATGGGGACCACATTTGCTACCTTCCAATCATCTGGCACCTGGCCCGAGCACCACGTAATGACCAAGACACCATTTTTATTTTGAGCAACTATTTTTCTAGCCTTCTCTAATTTTAAATTCTTAACAACTTTGTAAAAACCCACTAGCTCATTCACATGTGATGTTTCTTGGCACAGAAGTGAGTATTATTAGAAATTTTCACCAATTTGTGTTTTTTGATATATTGGGGTACAGGTAGTGTTGGAATGAAGTTGTAGTTGTCATGGTCCAAGAATTATGAGAGAGACAAGATTTTTTTTGTGGGTGATATCCAGATTTTCTCTGATTAAAAAAAATCCCCAATTTTCGGTTTAAAAAAAAGTAACCCCAAATCCACATTTCCATGATTTAAATAAAATACCACCAGATGGCGATCTCTCTTATTAGACAATTGCATGGTTGGGATAGAGTTGGACAAACTTTTGAATGCAAGGCATTCTTCATTGGGTCAGAATACCTTACATTTGAAAGCTTGTCCAGCTTTATCTCAACCTCACTCTGGGTCAAATAAAAAGAGATCACTTACAAAAATCCTTATCTTGCATTAGAGGATAACAAAATTCAGCGGACAAGTTTCACCTATAGGTTCATTATGCACATCTTCCTCTTAAAGAGCCCTGTCTTGTGGATGGCATTCATTTTAGTATGCTGCAACTGTAGTTTATGAGAGATGAGCAAATGTAGGAAAGAGTCTTTCAGCACACAGCTTGTTTCCTGTTCAGCATCTCTTCCCAATCTGCCTTGCTCCGCCCTCTGCTGAACTGATTGTATCCTAATTTGGTAGTCAGCCAGCTCTGATCACATGGCAGAGAAAAGAAGATTGTGAGACTTATACAGTTCCCACTGTGGCCATTGCATATATCAGTTTAATTCTTTATCTGAAATCTAGATTAAAAAACAGCACGAATTTTTGTTAAAAATCCTTCAAACTTAAATAGAGTCCTTGGTAGCACTCCATCTCTGTAATTATTTGGTTTATAAACAATGCAATGTGTGCAATAAATATAGTCTGATCGCATGGTCGTTAAATTTCCAACAATTTAACAACTGTCTGTCACAGTTATTAAATTGAGTTATTACTGGTTTAACTAAGATGGTACAACAGAATGTTTTTATTCAGACCAGTGCAACTCTGAGTTCAATATCATAGCCATCCGAGAGTAATGAAGGACTCAGAGAATCATAAGGTTGGAGGAGACCTTGAGGATCATCTGGCCCAAACCCCATCAGGAATGCTAATCCTAAATCATCCCTGACCAACCCCAGCCTCCTCTTGAAAACCTCCTGTGAAGGAGACTTCAGAACTTTCCTGGGGAGTTTATTCTACCACCTTACTGTTCTAATATGTTTTAACTGTATTTTCTATATTATGCCTGTTTTCAATGTAACAAGTATGTATTGGAAAATTGTGTTCCTTGCTGTAGTGTATTGAACTCTGTCATCTTGAGTAGCTAAGGTTGCATTCTTTTTGGTATTAAACACACCATTCTCCTCAGTCTACAAAGAAGATGCATTTCAGCCCAGACCCTGAAAATGAGAAGGATGATGTGTCATCCATGTACTGGTCTGTTTTTTATGATCAGAACCAGTAAGTGTTCAAAAGCAGCATCATTTTTCCTTCTTACTTGAGGTTACTGGTGTTCCCTCTGTAGCACTGTAATTTAAGACTCCCACGTGAAAGTGACGGACACTGGTGGGATGTTGGGCCCAAATTCTCAGTTCTCTGTTTTTCAGAGGAAGCTGAATTGCTGTCTGTCCCTAACACTGAGGTAGGCACTTCAGTGAAATGAGGCAGAGTATGAATTTAGGAAGGTAATATCTCTAACTGCAAATAAGGGCATAATTCTCAATTTAGATGAGAAAGGGTAGAACATCTTGTGAGGTGAAGATGGGAGAATATGCATTCTTTCCTGTTATGTCTCCTTCAATTCTACACTAAATGTTTCTGTTTTCATTGTAGCTTTTTCAGTTTAGTATATTCTTTATTGCTCTTCCCCTCATGAGAAGGAGTGTTAACTTGAACCTTGTCATGACTTTAGATTTACATCTGCATCCATACAAAGAGCTGTGGAGAAAAGAGTTTAAATGTGTTTCTACCTGAGTCCATAAAATTGTTTACTCCTTTTGTGGTTTTTCTAGGTAATTCAACTGGGGGCTGCCCCTGCCAGCCTGAGCCTGCTCTCTCTACAGGTGTATGCTTCATCCCCTGAGAGGAAAAGACCCAAAAAGGAGTTGCTAAAAGTTGATGAGGTGAGTCCTTGCCATTCTGGTTGGAACTGTGATGCTCTGCTAGTTTTGGTGTAATGTTTGCAAAGCAGATTAAGTAGGATATGTCGGATAGATGGAGGTCACTTTTTTATGAAAGGGAAAAAGACCTATGTTTTTATTACGAGAAAAAAGGAACAGCTAAACTAAAATTGCTATGGTTTTTTCCCCTCCTAACACTAGAAAAAGTCACGTGCTCTGCTTTTATTTTGCTGTGTAACAGCTTCTGATTTTTTTTTTTTCTCACATGCAAAATAATTTTTTATATATGAAAACCTCAGTACTGTATTCTTCATAAAATAGGCAGTTTTTTATCACAGGAAAAAAAAAACATTCTAATATTCCTAATGTCCAGGAATGTCTTTTCTTGTTTTTTGTCCAGAGGGTATCATACTATTATCTATATGACACATTCTGTTGGCTTCCATTTCCATGCTCAAATCAAGCAGCAAAAGCAAAAAGCTGTTTGAAAATGGTGGATGGGTGGGTAGGTTGGTTGATCATTCATTCACAGTTGAAACTCAGGCCCCTAGCAGACTGTTTAAGACATGATTAACCAATTAATCCCATCTTAAGTAGTAACCTGACTACAGATTCAAGCAAGTAATGGTATGATAAGATGGAATAATCCACAAAATGTTATACAGTGCAGTAATTTGGCTGTTTCCCACCACTCCTTAAATTGAGCTAAATGGTGCTCCCAGCTACAGGAGTGTGTTGGGGCCCTTCAAAGCTAGTGAATCCCTGACGTTTGGAGTGCCAGTCAGTTGACTTGCCCTCCCAGACAATGTTGCTCACCAGAGCCCTTCAAAGGCTCTGCTGCATTTCTGTGGCTGGGAGCACCAATTTAGCTAACCAGTGCTCGGAGCAATAGGAGTACTGTGGCTCCAGGTTGCTAGTCCAGGGAGATCCCAGGATCCCCTTGCACTGGCAATAGGATGCAATTTGAATCAGATCCCTGATCCCATAGTTGCATTTCCTGCCATGGACATTCCACAATTGTTGGGATCACAGATCAGATCCCATTGCAATCAGATCCTGAATGTCTGCCAGGAGCCTCAGTCTCTGCTATGTAAAGTTTTCAGCCTTCTTGTACAGTCTGGCTGTCTTTCTTAAATGCAGAATTGCATTGCAAGATCAAGGCCTATCTACTAACAAAACTAAGTGATAAAGGAAGCAGAGTGCAGAGTAAGGCAGTTGTAAGTTATATTAATAACAATCTGTGGTTACCTTATTTACTCATACATCTTGATAGTTGCCTTACTAAAAGCAGTGCATATGATTAGGGACCTACCTAATAGGGATGTAAATACTGATTTAAAAAATATTCATTTAACCTGTTGTAACTATACTGGTTAAACAGCTAGTTGGTATGGCAACCCCTGGCCTGGCCCACATGGGGCTATTCCAGCCCAGCCTGCAGGGTACCCCTGCTTGACCTGGTACCAGCAGGGTGCTTCCAGCCCCCCAAGGTGCGGTGGGGACTCAGTGGCTCCTCAGGGCTGAGTCTTATGACAAACTGGGCAGATGGGTGAGTCTTCTCTGGGCCTGGGCCCTGGTGCAGATGGGGTGGGTGGGTGGGTGTGGTATACTGTGGGGCCGAGTCACAGGCCTAGGGGAGCCGCCTCATGTACCCTTACTTCCACCTTGCCACTGCCAGGCCCCTCGCAGCCTGCAGCAGGATTCAGGACTGGGTCCCTTGTGGCAGGTGGTCTCTGACTTCCATGCTCCCCAGTGAGGAAGCTGAGCTGCTTTCCTTGTGGACAGCCAAGTAGGGGGAAGGGGGACTTGTACCTAATAACTCGGCTCTGTGGACAGCTGTGCAACCTCTTTCAGTCTCCTTTTTGCTTGCTGTGAGCAGTCTGGGCTCCATGGTGGATGACAGGGGCCTGCCTGGAGCCTGGGCTGCTGGTGGCAGGCAGCAGGGAGGTTGCAAGCAGCTGCACTGGGGTCCACAGACCCTAGCTATAGGTACTGGTTCCCCTCCTGCCTCCCCTCCCCTCCTCCTTGTTCCTTCCTCCTTCCCATGTGCCTTACTGCTTTTCTGTTCCTGCTGGGGCACCGCATAGATTTCCTTCCCTGCTGAACAGTGCCCTGTCCCATGCTAAAAGAGAACTGGTAAGCTATAACTGGTTATCACTGCACTTATTGCTTAAACATTTAACCGTTTGCATCCCTACTATTTAATTTAGCAGATTTTGTAGAAACTGTGAAATCTGGAACTGTCTGTGAAATCAACTTAAAAAAACAAAAGTTAAATAATGGGATGGCTCCCCAGCCCACCTGGGAGGGAAAGTTGCTGGCTGCCAAGGTGGCATGAAGGGCAGCCAGCAGGCAAGATGTCTGCTGCCCCCTTGTCCCTCTTTCCCCACCTCGCCCTGGGGCTTCTCTGCCAGTTGGCAGCAGGGCGTGGAGCCCAATGAAGGGCAGCCAGCAGCCAAGAAGGTGGCCGCCCCTTTGTTCCTCCTCCTCCTCGGGGCTTCTCTGCCAATCAGCAGCAAGGGTGGGGTTGCTGGGAAATGCCTGTAAAATCAGCTTTTTGTGCTGCAACCAAGGTGCAAAAATTCTTTTGTCTGTCCACCACTTAAGTAGGTCCCTACATATGATAGTTATACAGTACATCTGAGTGAACCCTGAAAGCCCCTGAAGTTTGTAAGACTTCAGCTCCAACCCAAAGATTTATTGATAATTGTTGCTGTAACTGCTTACTTTTAAAAATAAACAATTCTACTCCAGCCTGTACAATGAGTATTTCAAATCAAAAGTCCAGCTTCTTGCATATACTGTTGCATTTTTTTACAAAAATTTGGACTGATAAGTTGTTTTTTTTTATAAGTCACCTATTTTATTTGTGAAAGCAGAATGGCTTTTTAGTCTTGTTGAAAGTAGAATTCTTTTTAAGTAACTTGGGCCTGAACAATTTTCATCACAAAATAACCTTTGAAAGTACTAATGAGGAACTGAATTTATACTGAATGTTTATGTTCCATGTCACTCAGAAAATGTAATCGTTCCTATTTATCATTACTTTACTTTATCAGCATTTTTAAACATGGGTCAGAAAACATGCTGATGATAATTTAAAGCATCTGTATTCTTACAGAATATAACAAGCAGTTTCCATTTTACCAAAATTTTGTAGCTTGTATTTAAGGTTATATATTGGATTATTTGTGTTTTCTATACTATTGTGTTATCTTCTGAGTTTGAGGGTTGTTTGGTAGAATAGTGATGCTGTAAGCTCTGTGGTCCAGAGAATATGGAAGAAATAAGATTTTTTTTAATGAATATCTTTTATGGGCCAATTGTGTGGTTGAGAGAGAGATCAGAGGAGATCTTAATTCCAACAAGTTTTTAGGCAACTCTCCCAACTGCATAGTTGGCCTAATAAAAGATATTATCAAAAACATCTTGCTTTCTTAGTAGGGTCATAAGTTTAAGGATAAATTCTTCACATTGTAAATGTTACAGTAGAGACATATGTCTTGCCTGATGTTAAGAATGACAGCATCAAATAAAAAATACAGTTTATGATTGTTACCATCTGTTACTACTGCAGTTAAAAATGTGACATTTGACAGTTTTTCTTAAATCTAAAATGCTGTTGAGTAACAAGCTACACAGTCTGCATCTAAGATATTAGTTTAGAGTTAAGAACTGCTTAGAATTTTTAATTTACGTATGTGTAGAAAATGATTAATTGCTGTTTCCATATCCTAGTGTTTAATACAAATACTGAGAACTAGCACTGCTGATGAAGCAGAAAACACTTCTGTTACACTGTTCTTTTGACATCAAGAATGTAATACTCTGCCTAAACATGTGACTTGGACTAGCTAGCATCAGGACTGGTAAACAGAATGACCATTAGAAATGCTTCTATAATATGTAGTTCACTTAGTTCCTCACATTTTGTTCTGTAGGCACTCAAATTGTTCTGTCCCTAGCCTGAAGGCCTACTTTAACAATTCTACTTTGTTAACCTTTCGTTTGCTAATATTCACAGCTTTCACTCTACTCCTCCCCAGCTCATGAATCTAAATATGTGGAGGACCCACAAACCCAACTGGAGGAGGGAATTTCACATCTACGGCATTTTATGGAGCCCTATACATCCAGGTGTCAGGTATAACGGTTTCATGCTATATGGGAAGTAGTGACTATTGCTCAGTGGTTGGCTGAGCTAGAATTTTGTTTTGGTAGCATGTTAAAACTTTTCTGGCTATTAAATAAGTTGCTTAAAAGAAACTGTGCAAAATTGTAATTGCTTTAGTCATAGATGTTTCTGGAAACAAAAAGTCAAGTCTTTTTTTTTTTCCCTTGACACTTTGGATGATTCATTTACCAAAAAATTAAATTTTGTATTTACCACATTTACTCGAATACAAGATGGCACGGAGGGAAAATATAAGGAAATATCACTAATTATATGGTCTGTCATCAAACTTCTGCCAGAAGCAACATGTATTCAGCAATAGAAACCAGTTATGAAGTTGACTAAATGCAGCCAACACTGAGCATGACTATAAAATACATGGCCCACACTGGGCAAATAAACTTTTTTGTGGGTTTTTTTTTTAAGTTTGTTTCAAGGGCCAAATTGGTTCTGAATTCAACTGGGCAAATCCAATAGGCAGGTTCCAAATTTTGACTAAGCAGAGCTCAATCGTTTGAGTTTGTGTGGCTGTACCACTGGGCAAGTATCCTGTTTCCCTTTGGTACTCCCCAAATCCATGGCAGGGAACCTAAATGCAAGCCTGAAGCCTGGAGACCTTGGGGTTCGGATACTCCCTATTCTTGCTTGCTCCTAGCCAAAAGGCTGAAGAGCAAGCCATGGGGAAAGCAAGAACGTAGTCCCCCATTACCACAACATTGTGCAATTGAGTTTCGCACATTTGGGGAAGCTCACAGGGGTCAGCCTGCCCAGAGTCACTAGATTTGATTGGCCGAGTGGATCATGGAATTTCCCTTGCCAGGCAAACATACTGATGGGAACCTGCTACATTTTTTTTTTAATTTTGTCTCAGCCAAATCAGTTTTGAATTCTATCAGCTGAGCACAGCTCAGTTGTACAAGTCTGTGTGGTACTACCAATGGCAAGTATCCTGCCTCCCAGCCTCTTTAGCCTGGGTCTTCAGATACCTCCAAATCCATGGCTGGGATCCTACCACAAGGACAGATTGAAGTCCATTTGAATAAGATATTTTGGGCATTTTTACACGTGCTTCTGACACAGCACTGGGCGCTTTTTAATTAGTGAGCCACGCTAATTAACAGTGCTCGGCACCATGTCAGGAGCATGTGTATCAGCAGTGCAACATGCCTCTGAGCTGAGAAAATGGTGGTGGTGCGCTTTGAACTAAAGCACATCAAATGTGTTTTAGTTCAGATTGCATTGCCACCATTTTCTCAGTGCAGAGGTGTGCTGCACCACTGATATGCATGAGGCGTGAGGCTGCCAAAGCGTGTCAGTTTACGTGCTCCAGTAGACTTGATTAACCAAGTCTGCTCTGACACACTGGATTTCCAGTGTGTCATAGTAGGCTCCCTGCACGTGTGTAAGTGCCCATAGTTGTGCCCAGTAAGTGCATTTCTCTTCACTGCAGTTTTTTTCCAAGTTGTCATGTGCCACAACATTGCATATGCTTTTCATTCCTCTTCACTCCCACAGCTGAGCTATGCCTTTCCCATTTCCAATGATTCGTATTTCTTCACCAACCTTAACTGCATGGCAAACATCATGAAACAGGGTCCCAAACAGTTCATGCAGAGTTCCTCTGTCACCCCATCTCTCAGCCTGTCACAGGCCAAGTTGCCCTGCCTCATCTGCATATAAATTTTTGGAGCATCCCGGGACTCAGGATAAGAAAACCCAGTTCCAGTCATGAGTAGGGGTTTATTAGCACATGGATCCTTTGTGGGGTATATTTGGAGTACACTCACATGCTGAGTTGTGGTGCCATCATGGCTTGAAATGCTGTTGACTCTGGTGGAGCCCAACCCAGCCCAGCCCAGCCCAAAGAACTACATGGCAAATCAAGAGCCTTTGGTTTCGGACTAATATCATAGATAAGTAGGTACCAAATTGTTTATAGGCTACCTGTGCTAAAACTTACCTTTTTTTTTTTAACTGCTGCAACTGAACTAAATGCATGGATATGACATGCAAATTGCTACAGCCACTTTTTATTTTAAAGCTATTGTTTTCAAATTTACTTCTCACTTCCATGTGCTCAGGGAAAACAGGGTCTGAAAGTAAGGCAAAGAAGTAGGAACTGCTGGAGGAAAACTGGGGAGAAGCAGAGAGCAAAAGGGCTACCTGACCCCTCAGACTTGTTTTCCATGCTGTAGCATTGCTAGGGGAACAAATTCAAGGCAGAACTCCAATAATTAGATTCTATATTTGGAAAATTATAATACATTTATAAATTTTCTATATATAGAATATATTTGGGGGATTGTCTTCTATTCCAGTAACCACAGTTATATAAAAGCTATACAATTTTGCCCTCTTCCCACCTGCCCCTAATTAGAAATCATATAGGTGTGAAGATTTGTCTTGTTTTATTATTCTAGCTTCTCTCTCAATTTTTAAATAGAATTTCCTTAATTAAAAATTATGTGTTGTCACTTCACCACCACTTTGAGTTTAGATTTTCTTTTATACCCTTTAGCAGGGAAAGAAGGATCAGAAAGTAGACTACTGCAGTATTCATAACATTTAAAATAATATGCAAGTATCCCAAACACTGATGTCTGGAAAGATTTTTCCTGTGTTTTCTGTTTGATTTTTCACACATACCCAAAAACATGCTAAATTTGGGTCCAATCTTAAGTGAGTGAGTTAGTGACTTTTATTTAGTCAAAGATAAATCTTTGTATGTCAAAACAAATCTATAATAATAACTGGCTTATTTATAAAAGGCTTATTAAATTATTTGAAATGTTCTGAATGATAAATTTAGAAATCTGAGAGCCTTAAGCTTCTGGTGGGAAATCTGTTCATGTATTCAAGCACAAATAGCAGGGTTAGAAACTTTTCAGAGCCACAGGCCAAAACAATCTGTCTTGTGTTTATCGGACTTCAAGCCAACCTCATGATCGCTGTCACCACCATAGTAGTAGTGGCCTTCCTCTCCTGCAGCTTCACTTCGCCCCCACCCCAGCTGCAGTGCAGACACAGCTCCTTACTGCCCAGTCCCGAAACCAGAACCCCACCAAAGCTCCCTTGTTAATGACATGTTGCTGAAGGCCCCTGGCTCCGTGTGCTGGATCCAGCCGTCCCGTAGCCTGGATCCAGCCAGTGGCCTTTATGTTGTTGACTGCTGGTTTATGGTGTCAGGTGATGATCCTCTCCCTTGAAGAGTTTTAATTGGCAAATCTGAAAGCACTAGATTGAGGGCCCAGGCCTAAAAAAGGAGGCAAGCAGAGTTTAGATCAGGGACAGGCAATTATTTTGGGGCTGAGGGCTGCTTACTGAGTTTTGGAAAGCCATCGAGGGCCACATGACAGGCAGCTCAGGGCAGATTAATATTAATTTTCTACATTTTTTAAGGGCCCTGCAGGCAGGATAGAATGGCCTAGTGGGCTATATCTGGCCCCAAGCCGCATTTTGCCCACCCCTTGTTTAGATGCTTAAGTTCTAGAGTGTGATCCTCAAAACTGGTACCTGAATTGTGGCCAGGAAGGTTCCCTAGGTACCTAGACTCCAGTGCTTGCCCAGAACTGTGCTACAACCTTGTAAGGGCCCAGTGCTTAGCCCAGTCAGCAATCTTGGAGTCAATGTTCTTTCACCTGTCTCCCCTTAGCAGCCCAGTCTGATATGTTAAGTATAATCAAAACAGCACTGTACCTATGAAATCCACCTGCACACAAAATATAGTAGTGGTGGCCACTTTGGCCATGTTTTTGATTGAGAGGAACTGGTGGCAGAGGTGCCTTATTTTTATGTAGTGGCTTTTGAATGGTAATCAACCCTCATAAATTTTATATAAAGCATAAATATACATCTACCACACTTTTATGTTCTTCAGAATAGATATTTTAGTTGAACTACTGCTGTCAGTAAGTTATTCTAAAGATATTGTCCTTGCCTCTTATCTTAATCTAGGGCAGTGATGGCCAGCCTTTTTAGCAGGCATGCTACAAATTAGCCCTGCACCCTCCCCAAGTGCCACTCCTGTCACTTTATCTACCTAGTCCACTGCTCGGCTATCTGCTTCCTGCCCTGCCTAATGCTCCCAGCTCTGTCTGCTGTTGTGCTGCCTGTCTTCTATCTGATGCGCTTCATGCTCCTTGTGCCCCAAGTTGGCCACCCCTGATCTGGTGCTTTTACTTCACTGCAGCTAAAAGCAATTAGTTCAAGTGGTGTTGCAAGTTTGTTCTGTATATCTTAACTTGGGCTGGTGCTTGCTTACTGATTTTGCTAACACTGCAGCCCAACAAATACTCCTAGGCACTGGAGCACCTACATTTCTGCTGTTGATCAGGAGCTCAGTGTGATGCTGATGTGCAGCCAAGCAAACTTATTGTATTTGCCCAAATCCAAGACTACTTCAAATGCCAGACGAGACCCTCAGTAATTAGATTCTGTTTATAGAAATACATAATTTTTTTTTACAGTTTTCCATGTGTAGAATCTAATTATCAGAGGATCATCGTAAATTCGGTTGTTGTCCCTTCTTCTCCTGCCCCCCCCCCC